ATTCTGGTGAGAGCCTGTGGTTATCTGAAGCTTATTCAAACACTAGTAATGAACTAGCAAAATTCAAAGGGTTACCACTGACCTATGTCATTGCAAATTTCATGCTCCATATTAGTATGTGTGCTGTTTTGCATGACTGATCTTAAAAGAGAGAACGATGCCATATACTACAGTAAATATGGGTGCAGTGCTAAATGATAGTATGTAAGGTAGGACAAAGTTGGCAGGACAAAGTTCCAAACAGAGTAGTCCTAGAAGGAGCTGGAATTGTTAGCATATATACATTACTGAAACAGCGACGTCTACGTTTGCTTGGGCATGTTGTGAGAATGGCTGATGGTCAGATTCCAAAAGATCTCCTATATGGAGAATTAGTGCAGGGAAATCACCCCAGAGGGAGACCACAGCTGCGATACAAGGACATCTGCAAGCGGGATGAAGGCCTTAGGAATGGATCTCAACAGATGGGAAACCCTGACATCTGAGTGTTCAGCCTGGAGGCAGGCAGTGCATCATGGCCTCTCCCAATTTGAAGAGACCCTTGTCCAGCAGGCTGAGGCAAAGAGGCAGTTACGAAAGCAGCAAAATCAGGGAGCTGGACAGGGGACAGATTGTATTTGTCTTCAGTGTGGAAGGGATTGTTACTCTCGAATTGGCCTCCTCCGCCACACTAGATGCTGTTCCAAGTCCTCCATACAGAGCACGTTACCATAGTCTTTTGAGACTGAAGGATGCCTAATGAAGATAAGATATTTACAGCTCCGGCTTAGTTCTTAACTCTCCAGTTCTATCATCACTGGGCTTTTGAAGTCAGTAGCATTTCTTTGAGATTTTAGGACCAAAGCCTAAAATTGGGGGTAGGCCATTGTGACCATGTAATGGAGTGTGGCAGGCAAAAGCTAGCCAGAGGATGGAATTACTTCTGGACAGCTGATTGTGGAAATAGGCACAAGGCATTAACTTATTTGCCGTGCTCCAAAATCTATGAGTGGTCCAAGAGCATGCACACACTGGTTCTTTTCTCAGTTCCCTATCCCTGTCTTGGCTTTCTGGTTTATTGATGTTTTATAAGCAGAGGAGACACAAATGTAAGGAGTCAGTGAACCCTGATAGCAGCTGGCAGTGGATGGAGTTGGGCACTTTGGCTTTAAGGTTGTCTCACACACAGAAATCAGTCTTTCTCTTCCTCTAGCAAGAGGGCACCTTCAAAAAGAGGAGTGTCATGTGATTGCCCTTCAAACAGGCATCTGGTCACACAGCTAAAAACCTGGGATTTGACCTGTGTTAAAAGTATGCTGAATTGGATGTTCACACAATGAATTCCACAGCTTGCATTTATTTTCCTCTGAGTTGGATTAATCTTTTAGGAAGTGAGTTAAAGTGAACAGCCACCAGAGGGCCACATATTAGCATCCTGTTTTTTTAACCCACTTAAGCTCATGTGAATGTTACAGCCAGTTTTAAAAGAGAGCATTTCAATTACTCATTAGGAATGCAGGAAACAACTGAAAAACCATGTGACTTGAATTGGCTAAAATTAAAATGCTACATATTGTGGGTTTTTTGAGAAATGTAAACAGGCTTACAGACAGAGACCTAATAAAGAACAGGCTTCCTTTGAGAGGAGAGGAGATCACATTTCTACCTTTGGCTGTGGTCTTTCTCAGTACAGCTCCCATGTACTGGAAAAAATTAAACCACATAACAATTTATCTTGCACACTGAAAACCAGATGTCAAGCATGATGTATTCCAGGCAGTCCTCTCCCTCATGTGGCTGTTTCCTGTGTGCAATTGAAATTCAACCATGTGAACCTCTGTTGTAGATGATGAACTAGCATAGCCCAACAACCCAAATTTGCCACCTCATCATCTGTGAAAAATAGGCCACACTCTTTCTTCAGTGCTATCCTTAAAGCATCTGTGACTCAGCACCAGTTCTGGATGTATTCAAGGTACAGGAGGAATATTTGAAGGGTATATTTAGATGGGAGCTCTACTGCCCTATTTTAACTGAATGTACCATTTAAACTGAATTTAAAGGCCAAAGTAGATGCTTCAGAGACACTGCTTTCCAGGGCACAAATGTTTGTGGTTGATTCTAAACTTTCATTTTCTATGCAGCTTTGCTTTAAAGACTTTTGTCTGAAATATCCAGCATCTTTAATTACATATATGGGCATAGGGGGTACTCTATACATGGTCCTTGTGAAGACACGCAGCCCAATTACCCAATCATTAAATCGTCTTCTTGACACAGTTCAGGCAGATGGTTTGGAATTCAGCCTTGTGTAAAAAAAATGTAAGGGCATTTAGGTTGAAGTAGAAAAAACACAGAGAGAACCTGTAATATTTTCTCTATTTAGAAAACAAGTTGTTCCAATAAGCAGCATGACATTATTATATGAGAGGAGAGAAGTACCATCTTTTTTCTGCTTCAGCCATTCACTAGGGTTGCCATAAGTAGTTTCCAAAACCTGAGACTAGGGGAGAAGGCTGTGATGTCATGGGGCAGGACCATGTGACATCACTAGAGATAAGTGTTTTGGATTTTGGGGGGCTCCAAATCCCAGAATTCTCCCAAAAGTTCCTAAAGATTATTCTGGGAGTTCAAACCCACAAACACCTTCATTTTGCTCACTTAGAGAAAGCCCTCTTCTGTGCCTTCTTCTAGGCCTTATTTCTTGTTCGACTGCTTCCTGGGAGGAAACTATTGCAATACTTCTTGGGGTAGTAGTCTTGTTGACCATTCACACTTGTTGAAAAATTGCCCTGACAATTGCATTGTGTTTGGGTGATAAGTGGTTAACTGATGAAAACAGGAGTCAGCTTCTGGAATTTTCCCCTGTGTGGTGTCACTTTGTGAATAGTAATGAGCACAAAAGGGTATCCTGTAGACCAGGGGTCCCCAACCCCTGGTCCGCGGCCCGTGCTGGTCTGTGGCCATGGCAGGACCAGGCCGGGGAGGCACATCTCCCAATCCCCTGCATGCACTCCCCCTGCACGCATGCCCTCCTGCATGCACGGGTACACTGCCCACCTATGAGCAAGAGGGTAACCCGCCCCCATGTGTGTCCTGGCACCGCGAAGGTCCTGCTCTTCCTACCAATGGTGCCCAGAGCGCCGCTGTCTTCCTGCTCAGCTGGCCACTCAGCAGCCATGCGGGGAGACTCATCCTCCTGCCCCCTACCTAGAGTGCCCAGCTGAACAGGAAGAGCAGGAACTTTTTAATGCCAGGACATGTGAGTGGATGGTCCGGTCCCAGGGCCAGACCCTCATTAGATCCAGCTGAGATGGGGATATACGTATTCATTTATGAATACAGACATCCCCATCTCTGTTAATGAACTATTATAATTACCTGTTTTAAACTGGGAAAAATATTTCCCCCTTTTTATGTCTTGTGCCATGTAAAGGCCTTTGGCCAGAAACAGTAAAGTATTTTATAGCTAAATATAGACAAAGCAACAGAGAATGGTAGCTTCTCTTTTGCAGAAATGAGCTTTGCCAGTACTTCAAGGAACTGGAATAGGCAGCAGTGTCTTCTCTCTCTGCCTCATCCATTAGAAACATAACCATGCACAGCCAAGGATGCCTCTGGGAACGATGGTACGGCATTGTGCTTGGTCTTTCCCAAGGAGCCCTTCTATGGCAGCAAGAGATTGTGTTTCATGGTTTGTTTTAGCACCCTCAATGCCTGAAGTGGCAGCAAAACCATTTCCACCTTTGTGCCTCTATCCCAGCGAGGTATTCCCCCCACAACTTCTCCTGACTTTCACAGCTTGACCCACACCACCCTTTTCTATAAGAGACAAAGGGCCCTCAGAAAATTGCTGGTGGCACATGCAGTTCAGCATTAACTTCACATCTTTCCTTTTACTGCTTATGTGAAGTGTAAACTGATTTTCGGAATAGGGCATGTCTACCTATTCAGCTGATTCATTGCAAACGTATGACTTATACCAAATTAAAACAAAGGTGTGTAATTAATACAATCAGGCTACAAGCCTATAAAGGCACAGGTGCTAGGAGAGGGAGCAGGGACACAACAAAAACAATGCAAACTACAAATTGCTTAATGGCGCACTGAAGCAACATTTGTTTAACTGCTTCCTTAATGTTGGGTGATGAAGAAGATGGATATTGGTGTCTCTCCAACCCAGGCTTTGACTGTGCAAAAGAGGAATTCCCACCCACCCTAGGAATCCTCCATTCCTTCAGGTCATGAAATACCAACAGCAGAATCATAGGTACAGCAGCAGTTTCTTAAGTCTGTGACCAGAATTTGGCCCTTTCCAAGCAACCTCAGAACCATAGAAACCAAGAAGATGCAAGTCCATGCTGAGCTTCAGGGCTGCCAGCGAAGTGCAGAGTCAGTCACACAAAGTTATCCTTCATTGAGGACTGCTCAGGAGGAAGAGAAGCCTTTCTAGGTGTGTGTCTTGACCTGAGCCAAGCTGAGAGGTAGGAAAGACAAAGCTCTAGTTTTGATATCTGCATAAGTCAGAATTGACTTGACAGCACATGTTGCTGATTACTATTAGTCAGAACCAGACTGTCACTGAAACAAGCCCTTTGGGGCTTTAAGTGCCTTTTCGTGGCCAGATGGTTGTGAGGAGCATATCCCCCAAGCCTTCTTAGAACCGAGGAAATGGACTCTGAGGAAATGGTGCTATACTTTTGGAACTTCTCGCAAAAACATTCTTTCTCTCATGCTTACCAGATGAATCTTTGCCAAGAGACAGCCAAAAAAGAAAAAGTTTGTGTGAGAGAAATTGAGATCGAGAGCAAAAGCAAGAGAAAGGAGGTGGGGGAGAGAGAGACTAGAGGTAAAAAAATATCATGTGTTGGTTGAAATGCATTATAGTTGAGGTCTTTGTCACAGGGATTATGAAATATATGAAAGAGTACTTAAATATTTATACAGTGTCATTGATAAAATGTGTGTAAAAACCAGAAATGTATCTCACCCACAAACCCACACACTTACTTTCAGTGAGATTTACTTCTGACTAAAAATGTTTAAGATCATGGAGCACGATGGAATCTCAGACAGCTGATTTCCGTATGAAGTGGTGCTTAAGGAATCAGTCACAGTTCTAGTTATTTGTGATAATCAGATAACGGGAGGATTTTAATCTTTACATGGTTCTCTAACTTGCCAATATGCATTTGGTACAAAGTTGGTGTCAGTTATCCCTTGAAATGCTCCAGATGTCACTGTGGAAAATTAGTTTCAAGGTCTCTTTGTTTTGTTGCTTGTGGACCCATTGATGCCACTCTCCAATAGCTATGAGCTTTGCTTAGCTCCTTACAAAGGGAACACAATCGCTTCTGTTCAATAGAGACTTCTGCATCCAAACCCTGTGAAACAACAAGCAATAAATGTAACTCAAAGAGTTATGCAACATGGAAGAAAAAGAAATAAAACAATTCTGTTGGATCCAATTTAGTTATGTGTTGAATTGACTTGGAGAATTCATGAATTCAGTTGAAGACAAGTAGCCTAAAACATTAAAAGCTGTTATAACCTGACAACGGGGCTCGTTAAGATAGGCATCTGTTCCACTGTTTCGTGCATTGTGCGNGGGATTCTCCCCCCCCCCCCCCGGAAACTGCAAGATGTATTTGTGAGAGCAGACCAATTTGGCCCCAGAGCATGTCAACCCCAGGCCACAGTTTTGAGCCCCTATCAGGAGCTTCTATTTTTTGGGTGGGGTTTGGTGCACTCTGGTCTAGTCCATTCCCAGCATGTGCAATCACTGGGAATAGACTAAAATTGAGCTTTGCAGCGGTCAAAACTGCCAAGGCTCCTTCAAGTGTTAATTTTCAGTATTGTAAAGTGACTTAATAAATGAGCCACTTCAGGATATCGGCAAATTAAATACTTTCCCTGCCCCTTTGTGGAGGGGCAGGGGAAGTGAAATTGATTTTTTTTTTGCCTCTGTTAGATCATCGCTGATACACTGAATTACTTAGATTAAATTTTAAAAAAGAAATTTCTTCCATTAGGTATAGTGCTGATCAAAACTGTGACTGCAAGCAGTTTCTTCATCGGCACTACATAAAAGGAAAATGAAATGAATGAAATTCAACAGGGATAAGTGCAAAGTACTGCACCTCAGAAAAAGAAACCAATTGCACAGTTACAAGATGGGGGATACCTGGCTCAGCAAAATCATGAGCGAGAAGGATCTTGGAGCTGTCATAAATCAGAAGCTAAATATAATCCAACAGTTTGATGTGGCTGCAAAAAAAGGCAAATGCTATTTTAGGCTGTGTTAATAGAAGTATAGTTTCCAAATCCCGCAAGGTGCTAGTCCCCCTCTATTCAGCACTGGTTATGCAAAACCTTGAATATTGTGTCCAGTTCTCTACACCACACTTCAAGAAGGATGCTAAGAAATTGGAACAAGTTCAGAGGAGGGCGACAAGGATGATCAGGGTGCTGGAAACCAAGTTTTATGAGGAAAGACTGAAAGAATTGGGCATGTTTAGCCTTGAGAAAAGAAGACTGAGGAGTGATATGATGGCACTTTTCAAATATTTGAAAGGCTGTCTTACAGAGGAGGGGCAAGGTCTGTTCTCAATCATCCCAGAGTGCAGGACACACAACAATGGGCTCAAGTTAAAGGAAGCAAGATTTCGGTTGAATATTTTAAATGTTAGAGCAGTACAACAGTGGAATCAGTTACTTTAGGAGTTAGTGAGTGCTCCAACACTGGAGGTATTAAAAAAAATTAGATAATCCCCTGGCAGACATGCTTTGATTGCATTCCTTCATTGAGCAGGGTCTAGGACTTGATGGCCTTGTAGTTCTTTTCCAACTTCACTTTTCTATGATTCTATGAAAGAACTTTTTTAAAACAAAAAAAGTAATGTAAGTGATTCAGTGCATCAGTGATGGTCTAGCATAGGCAAAAATAATAATTTGATTTCTTATTCCCCTCTGCAGAGATGCAGGGGGGAAATGACAGCAGATGCAGCTAGAGGGTTGCAAGAGTGCCAGTGTAGATGTGCCCGCGGTGGACTAAAGCAGTTGATTTTGCACCCTCAAAAGTGGATTTTACAGCAGTTCTTCTTGAATCTCTTTGAAAGCCTCCAGCGGTGCACTTGAAATACAAAAACCACTTCTTCAGGGCCAGAGATGGGGAACTTGTGGCCTTCTAGTTGCTGGACAGCAACATCCATGATATTTAATCTTTGGTTAGGCTGGTGGCAGTTGCATTCTAGCAACATCTAGAGGTCCACACATTTTCAATACATGTCCCAGGTCAATGTTCTGAACAAACAGTTCCTTGCAGTTGGTGCATACATAGAACTCCTCCTCTGCTACATACATAGCTCACTTGCACACCTAGTTTCTGGATGTTTTTTTTTTAAATATCATCTGTTGCTGCCTGTACTTCACTACTCTTATGTATAAAGAAATTAGCATATGAAACTGTTAGAATGATTTTAAGATCCTACTTATTTGTTTCTTTTGAATGGAATAGATGGTCTGGGTAAATGTTGGTAGCAAAACAAGAGAGTTTGTCTTGCTCAGTAATATATTTAGCAGGGAAATTGCTACCTGCACAGTCGTATATCAAATGCAAATCGTTTTCTGACATGCATGCACATGTTAGTAACTGTTTTTCATGCCCCTTCACAGCTTGGTATTTCACACTCAGGGAGCTGTTTTGCGAAAGCAGATTAAAAATAACACAATAAATCCAAAATGCTAATTGCCAGATAAAACCAAGCATATGAATACTAATAATACAGTTTGGGGTGTTTATTTCATCATTTTATGTTAATTGTAAGCATTTATGCGTGGCTCCTTTCCCTCTCTCCCTCTCCTCAGCTGTCCCTCATTTGGTGGCACACAGAGCTATGCAGGCAGTACTACCAGAGAGACTCATTCACAGCTCTCATCTGTAAAGTCAACTGGCTCACTGCCCTCCAGGTCAGAGATAGACAGATCTGTCCATTTTGCTCTTTCTCCATTTTAATATTTAAACATTACCATCTGCCCATCAAACTTATGAAAAATGCTTTTGGTATTTTCTTACTTCTAAAAAATACAAAATTTTCAACCATTCACACGAGCTGAATTCAATATAGTAGATGCAACTGTCCCTACATATATAGGATCATGTACCATTTGCTATATAGCTTTTAAAGATGACAAGCCTGGAAGTAAAAAGCAGTGCTCACCCCAGCTTAGAACACAAGGCGCTTCCATCCAAACACGTTGCACTGAAGTTCTTTTCCTGTGTGGGCTAATCTGTCCACTTTGCTTTCTTCCACATTCACCCTTTTTTTAAAAAAACCCTCAAGCTGAGATTCATGAAGACATTGGTAACTTTTAAAGAGATCTTGCTGAAAAAAGAAAAGAGCAACATAATTCTCATATTCCCTGTGTTCAGATCGATGGGTTGTGGGTTGTGGGTTACTTGCGGGCTTGGCATGTATAAAGGAGGAGTGGGAGGAAATATTTACAGATCTTTACAAATATGTAGGAAGGACTCCCTATAACCCAAATACCCTCTCCAAACCAGTTTGCCCTAGAACAATGATGATGAACCTTTTTGAGGCTGAGTGCCCAAACTGCAACACAAAATCAACTTATTTATTTCGAAGTGCCAATACTGCAATTAAAACTCAAAGATTTTAGTTTAGAAAAAATAACTGCTCCTGCACTGCAAGGGTTAAATGCCCCCCCTTTCCCTATGGGCAGTATTAATATTCTCTGCCATTCAGATGAGAAGGCAGGGCATAGAAGCTTGTGGCGCTGCCTTTGAGTGGACAATCACCCAGAGGAGACATGTGGTTTGTGCCCATCTCTAATGTAATGACCACCGTCTAAGTTGCTTAAGTGTAAAGAGCAATACATAGTTACTGACAAAATTCACTATTAACACATTTAAAGATGTTTTAGAGGAAATGTTCAGGTTCTGTGCCATGCTGCTATCAGTCTTTTGTTTTTATCTTTTGCATTTTTATAAATATTTACAAGATCCAGTATCAGAATTAGTCACCAGAGATTATTTCCCTGCATTTTTCTGGTCTTCTGCCAATGATAATTCAATATACAGTAGTAATTATGTGCAGCAGAGAGGATTATTTGCACAACTAAAACAGTGATTAATGAAAACCTGGTTCTCAAGAAGTCACAACAAGCCCCCTTTAAAATGTAACACCGGGCTATCTAGTAATGGGTATTGCCAAAGAGTCAATTAAAACAGTTGCTTACTGGGGGCAAGAGAGGTCTCCGAACTGGATTAGGACTGCAAGTGGACACAGGTTCCCTCTACTACAGACTAAAGTCATGATTTGGGTCACATTCTCCTTAATTTCTTTACATTAATTTCTTGGCACTTCATGGCAGTCCATGTGGCTCCCAGGCGCAGAAGGAAGGCTATCCTGGGCCCACAAAAGTCACCCACGCTTGCTTTAAAAGCATCTCAAACACATACATCAAATATACTTCTCCTCAAGTGCTGCTCACCTTGGGATTTGCCTCTGTGTGCAGAGACCTGGGGAAGCATGGCAGTTCTCTGAGACCTCAGCATCATCATGAGACCTGGCAACTGCACGTCTGAGTAAGTAAGTTAAGTAAAACACATAGCTGACATAGATCACAGGAGGCTGTAGAAGGCCGCAGTCTTTTGCCATGGGTTGGGTTGGTTCACCAGTTGGTTTGGCCAGGATGCCGAATAGCTTAAAACTGAATGAAGACCTGCAAGAGACTTGAGTTTGATATGTGTTGAGTTAAATTTCAAAATCACTTACTTTCATGAGGTTCAGGCAAAGGGGTTTACCAATGAGGGAAGGACTTCCAACACATCATATGTCAGGGCTTGTCTTCTTCTTGATTCCATCTCAATGTAAATTGTGTCTAATTTGGCCCTCAGTCCTTAGAGCGACTGAGCCTTGTAGTGTAATGGTTAAACTGTAGTATTGTAGCCAAAACTCTACTCACAGCCAGCTTTCAATACCAAGGGATCTGGCAAACTGTAGTATTGTAGCCCAAACTCTGCTAACAGCCAGCTTTCGATACCAAGGGATCTGGTGGCCAGCTCAAGGTTGACTCAGCCTTCCATCCTTCTGAGGTTGGTGAAATGAGTATCCAGCTTGCTGGGGATGGGGGGCAGGGGAATGTGTAGCCTGCAAAGTTATTTTTTAAAAATTGTAAACTGCCCAGAGAATATTTTAAGCACTATGGGCAATATATAAGCAGCACACTTGGCTATTTTGCTTTACAGCCCCCTGAAAGCACTATGGGCAATATATAAGCAGCACATTTGGCTATTTTGCTTTGCAGCCCTCTGTAGTAGTATCTATCCCTAAACAAATGCTTGATATTTCCCAAGCTAGGAACTTCCCTACTCACTCATTCCTTCCTCAGCCATTTTTCTCTGTCAGAACATGCTTGGTTGATGCCTACAGATGATAACCAAACACCAAGTAAGTTTCTATATGATTGGAGGAACCTCTGTCTATATTTAGAGAGAAGCTTATGTTCCACTCGCACTGCAGCTCCTAAAAAAGGATACAGTTTGGATTAGACCCAAGTGGAAGGTTTCACCCTCTGTCTGAAGCTGATTAAGAGCCACGTTTTTAAACATCTCTTAAAATTAAACTGCAATTCATTGTCTTCGTTGCCGAAATCATTCGAAGGGAGGGGTCAAGGGATCATTGCCCTCCCAACCCTGGAATGAAGACGCAAGACAAGAATTATGGGTTAATCATGGGCCACACTTTATTAAACATAATCAATGTTGCCATCCTTTGGCAAAGGGGGGATCCTGCCGTAGTGCAGAATCAGGTTTAAGCACAGCGGTCTCAAAGGGCCCCTTAAGCAACAAATAGGCAAGTCCCTGGCCCCAAGTTGTCTTGGTCTTAAAGACAGCAAGAACCCGGCTGGCCCGAATTTGACCACCCCCAGGACTCAAGCCAGCTTCTCCTTGTTGCCTGTTGGTCCAGGTGTGGCCACAGCATATCTTCCCCCCCAAGCACTGTAATCGCATGATCCGCAGCGCTGGGAGGTCAGGGGGGCTATAGCTTACCTGAGTTTGCAATGGGACTCACCAACAAAACCTGTTATATCCACACTACCCCCCAGCGTGACCAATTTAAACACGCCAGTGCACCTGTTCCAGTGTGGGATAGGAGAAAAATCCCCGCACCCAAATGCCAATCAGGATATGGGTCAAAAAATCCTATCCAGCCCCATAGGCGACCAGATAAACTCACGCTAGAATAAAGGGCAGGCGGGCAGATGCCAGCAAAGGAAAAGGAAGAGGAGAGGGGGGAATGGCTCTTAAATAACCTGAAGTCCCCCCCTCACCTCCTATGCTAATCTTGTGATACCAGAAGTCTTGCGCTATCCGGGGAGGGAGGCAAAGGCGAGCTGAAGTTCGGCTCAGCAGCGGCTCGAGCATTCTAGGAATATCAGGAATCAGACTGCAGCAAAAAAGGACAAAAATAAATATATAAATCACAATCCAGCTGCTTCTTATTATTAGAGTTTCCGTCACCTCTGGATTTGTTGCCAAGTTCTCTAGAGTTGAGTCAGACCACTGAAATTAGGACTGAACAAAAGTGTATGCTTACATAATCATGTCCTATACAAAGAATATGACCCAGCACACGGAGAATCTGCAGCATTCAAAGATGTCAATGAGAGGAAACCACTGGGGAGGCGTTGCATTCCGATCAACGTTCCACTTTTGCTGGTCACATTCCCTTAATTAAGGATGGTATTAAACTGATTCTATGCCTTTAAGATTATTGCCTAAGAATTAGGGAGTTTAAAATGATGTGTCTTTTCATTCCTCTTATGTGAAACCCTCCCAATGTTGTTCCCATTATTCGTAGCCAACGTAGCCAATGGTGAAAGATGATGGCATTTGTAGTCCAGTAAAATCTAGAGAGTCACAATTTGCCTATCTTTTGACCTTGTCCTTACTGACAGTCTGGGTAGTTTGTGGTTGTCCAGATCTAGTAGGACTGCAGTTCCTTTTAGTATAGTTAGTGGTGGATAATGATGGGAGTTGTGATCCACCAGTATTGAAAGGGCCACACAAACTCCAGCCCTGATTTAATTCCCCATTTCCAGTCACTGCTCTTAAACTATGTTATTAGAGGTCTTCCTAGACCTCAGAAAAGTTACTTTTTAGGACTGCAACTCCCAGAATCCCCCAGCCACTGAGGAGTCTGGGTGTTGCAGACACAAATACTGTAGTATGTTTCCCAAGCTTTCTGGGTCTTTCCTTGTACATTCGTCTTCTTGATTCTTCAAGTGGCTTGCAGCTCCTGCCCGTGAGCACAGCAGGGGTTAAAACAGACATGGACGTCTGCTCAGAGAAAGCAGTTGCATGTATGCTGACATAAACTGGGCACTTAGGCTCTGCTCTTGGCACTCCTGCCCTGGTTGTCTGTTTTGGGGCACAATTCACAACCCCAGGTTTTGACAGGTTAGTTTGGAGACCTTTAAGCAGCCAGGGGCTACTGATGCCCGCTCCTCTGTGCTCCATTGTAACTTTCAGCAAGGATGCTTCCGCAAAATGACCTTTCCTCAACCAGCTTACTTTGGCTGGAACACGGTGTCCCAGGAAGCAAGCCAGACATAGTTGTTTGCTGAATCTGGCAACCAGTAATCATCATGATCTTGCAAGAGGAAAGAATGGGCTTGTGGTTAAGGCAGAGGACTGGCTATCTGGGTTTCCATCCTTGCTCTGTAGCACCTTGTGTGGCTGAGGCTAGGTCTTGGTTACCTACATTTGCAATTATTATTGCATGATTATTATTATTATTAAACAAAGTACTTAGCTGTAATGAGGTTTGGGGTATTCACATCAGGGAGTGCAGTATTTAATCATAATCATGCAACATTGTAGCAGCACATAAAGGTTTAGTTCAGTAGTAACTTCCCCACCTCCTCAAATAGGAAGCAGTCCTCTTCTTACACCAATTACTGCACCGATTAATAAGGAGACATGCTGGTTTCCTCTGCTGTCTCTCCACCCAGCCCTGAAACTTTTATTTATGGATAATGGAAAGGACACAAGCGTTCTTGGTGCCGTCTAGTGGATCCTGCTTTAGGCATCTCATTTAGCCACACATTCACCCTTTTGTTCAGCCCTCCCAAACCCAGCACCTAGTAGATGTACAGGACTGCAACTTTTATTATTCACAGTTGCCTCCATCCTAGCAGTGGTGGAGTTCCGTCCAACATACTACTCGAAAGGCACCAGGTTGGCTAAGGCTGCTTTAAATTCTGCAACCTGTTACGTACAGTCAGGTTGTCTGACTTGTGGTAACCCTAGTAGGGTTTTCAAAGTATGTGAGATGCCAAACAACTGTGAGTTTACATGATCAAGTGGTGATAGGAACCTGAGTCCTAGTCTACTCATTCCGTTACATTACTCTGACTCTCAAAGGTACTTGTGTTTTATAGGTAAAAGCAAAATAGAATTTGTAAGTTTAAAGAGACAAAAATATGGTGGCACCTTAAAGATGAACTTTTATATTTTTTTAATGTGAGCTTTCATGGACACGTCCACTTCATCAAATGTCTTTTTTCTTTTCTTTTCTTTTCTTTTCTTTTCTTTTCTTTTTTATTTTATTTTATTTTATTTTGCTTTTCCCTATATAGAGTCATAGAGTTCGAAGAGACAGCTGAGGCCATCCAGTTCAACCCCCTGCCATGTGGGAACATCCATCAAAGTACTCCCAACAGATGGCCATCCACCACCCTTTGAGGCAGCCTATTCCACTGCTGGTACTATCACTTTCCTTGATCTAGACACTATACTCCTGTTGATACAACCAAGAATCTCATTGGCTTTCTGGGCAGCCGTACAGATTAACACAGACTGCTTGCACAGACTAACGTGGCTACCCCTTCTACATACTTATGTTTTGTTATTGCAAATGGCCCAGACTGGGAGAATACCAGTATTCCTTTGTTAATTTTTTAATTTTATTTTATTAAACTCATATACCATCCATCTAGAACATGTCTACTCTGGGCAGTTTACACAAAATATAAAAAATAAACAATGTAAATATATATGTAATAAGAATAAGACACAAATTAACAACAGCATCCAAGATGGAAAAAAAAGAAAAATGAGAAATAGGCTAGGTGGTGGCTGTAGAGAAGACCTGCCTGTATAGCCATGTCTTCAAATTGGTCTTAAAGGCCCAAGGGGGCTAGGTGGATCTCTACAGATAAGTTGTTCCAGAGACAAAGGGCCACTGTTAGTTAATTAACTGCTGTTAATTCCACGTAAATATTGCAGATTATGGGAATATGCCACAACCTCAGAGAATGTTTTCAGCCTAAGCAAGTGTCAACTTGGCTGCTGTATTCTTGGGTTTTAAGAATTGGCCCACCACATCTCATGCTTTAAGAACAACTGGACAACAGACACATAGATTTGCAATGTCTACCATTGTTTTGTAGCAGTTCTTTTCTTTTAATGGGTACGTGGAATATGGAACGTGTAATGTAATGTTTTTATATCGTTGTTTTGCTTTATAGTTTATTTATCTGACTTTGGAAATAAAAGGTAATGCCTCTACATATGAATTATAAAGAACATTTTATCTAAAT